TAAACATACAGTGGCTAAATCATCAGACAAGAGCCAAGGGTGATCAAACTATCAAGTTACATCACATTTATAAACATACAGTGGCTAAATCATCAGACAAGAGCCAAGGGTGATCAAACTATCAAGTTACATCACATTTATAAACATACAGTGGCTGGCTGTGAAACTCTTTTCCTTGAAGTTTTATCTAAATTAATAAGTTTCTAATATTTTAGATTTTAGTTACTTTTGTTAAAATATATACAAATAAATAAAAAGTTATATAAAGATAAAAACATTTAGCACTTATTTTATTCTTGATGCCTTTCACACTTTGGTGTATTGTTATGTAAGCTTTTATTTTTATGTTATTTGTTATGTAGCTTTGAAATATGCATTTTAGAACAAAGAAAATATCAGACACTGGAATAGAGCATTCCAGAACTACTGTAATTTCTTTCTGACTAACCAATAAATAGCTTTAAGAAATTCCATTACTGTATAGAGCAATGGTTCTAGTCTAACAAACATGTCAAGCTGTCACAGTAAATTTTCAGCTTTTACTAAAACAAAACAGACAATTGTTTGATTTATCTAGTGTAGGATTTATTCTTTCTGTTGGTTATAAACATATCCAATAGCAATGTCGAGGAGAATTACAGACAATTCTTAAAAGAATTCTATTTCTGACATATTTCAGGATAGTAATAATGCTGAAACATTAATCAACATGATGGTTCTCTCGCAACATCTGGGAAAACCCCCAGAGGTATGAATATGATTTTTCAATATTATATTAGAATTGTATTAAGTTATATTAAGTATGTTAATAAGTGTTTGGCTAAACAGTCAGTCAGAATATGAAACGTTTTGATTTATCACGTAAAGCCAACATTCTAGACATAATGTACAGTAACAGTTCTGTAATGACTATTTCAGTAAAATGTAGAATGCACCTATCCATAATACATATGTCCAATAAAAATTACTTACATGTACAGTATCAGTTCTTTGAGTAGTACCTAAGTAACACAAAAAACACCTGTCCAGAAGACAGTACTGAGCAAGAGTGTTAGGACAACAGAATATTTTGTCATTCTTCCATTGTATGGGGCTAATTCTTCCATACCATTACAGAATGTAAATTTCAATACTATGGTAATGTTTCATTGATCCCTGTTGACAACTGAATGAGCCAGGGTGAGAATACTTATCATTCTTTAGAATTCCCATACACTTGTACCAAGGACAAGTCTTAAGGATTCTGCTTGAATGAACATACTGATCAAATTTAAGGTCTGAAATAACTGTCATGGTACATGCAATGTCTTAATTATATAGAAAGGAGCTAGTATATGGTACCGATATATGCTAGAAGAAATCAATTTAATAGCACCCTTCAAATAAACCTTGATAAAAACAGTGTATAACACTATATATTAAGTTTTATTGTCATGTCAGAGAATTGTCAGTAGAGCAGAGAGTTCACATAAAAGCTTTATGTGATGCTGGTTGGACTCTTTGACAAATTGCTGCAGACTTGAAATGCTCCCCAAACACTGTAAAGTACACCCTAGATCGTGAGACCGAGATAGGTAAATTTCAAAATAAGAAAGGAAGAGGCAGAAGACCAAAACGTAATGATACTGATGTTAAGTATCTTCGTTTATGCCACTGATCTGAAGCATGAGATAAACAACAGAAAAGTGTCCAGATCTATAGTATCAAGAAGATTCAACAAGAATGGAATATTTGGTCACATAGCAGTTTAAAAACCTTAACTTTGATCTCCAAGTATTGTCAAGAGACTGAAATATGCAAAAAAGTACAAAAATGCGGACTGTTGATGGTTGGAAAATAGTGTTATGGATGGATGAGTCCAAGTTTGAAATATTTGGTTCAAAGCATAGGTTGTACATCCAGCAGAAGAAAGGCAAAAGATACTTACTTCAGTGAAGCATGGGGGGGTGGGGGGGGGTGGCAGTGTGATGGTTTGGGGGTATTTTTCAGCGACAGGAAATATTAGCAAAATAGATGGAATAATGGACCAGCACAAATACCATCAGGTACTGATCTGTCATGGTATACTCAGTGGTTTGTATTATTGGTAAAGGATTCTACTACCAAGAAGATAATGACCCCAAACACTCATTCAACCTATGCAGAAATTACTTAGCTGAGAAAGAAGCTGCTGGAATCATTCAAGTGATGCAATGGCCCCCACAGAGCCTCGATCTCAACCCAATTGAGCAGATCTGGGATTTGATAGATCAAAAACTTCCAAAGAAACATTATGGAAGTGTATTAAAGATATTTGGAGTAAAATTTTTTAAATATATTGCAACAATGCCTGAAAGACTGTCTGCAGTTATTAAAGCAAAAGGGAGACACAAAATATTAACTTTTTGCTGAACTCAAGCACATTCACAGAGTTTCTGTTGTACTAAATATGAAGATTAATAAAATTTTGATGTTTCACCTGTGATTTACTTTCCATTGTTCTTTGAAAGTAGCCTGAAATCTAATTTTTGACTGTTGTAACACTTTTGCACTGTACTGAAGATATATCAAATAAAAACTACTATAAAAAATAGAACTACAGAAAAACAAAGGGAAAACTTCTTAGCTGTTAGGTTTTGGCCTTTTTAAAAGGGGAGGAGTGTTTTTTACATGTCTTGTTGTTTTCCTATTTTTAGTATTTATTGTAAATGATTGCTAAGAGTAGTTTCTTGTTTTTTTAATTTTCTTTGTGATTTATTGAAACGTTCTTTTAGGTTATAATCTTTGTTAAGGTTTTTATTTCAATATTTAAAAAAAAATCAAAACAATCCATTTTAAGTAAAATCTTACTGTTTAGATCCCACGCTTAAAGTAATAACTACAAACTGTTAATTGAAAACAACTATCAGTTTGATAGAGCTAGTTATTGGGTAATTTTTAGTTTTTCATGTTTTTTCATATTGAATTGATCTGTTATTATATTGTAAGATCTTGGTGTAGCTATATTTATACAACAAATATGTGTGATTGAGATTTTTTTAAAATCCAAAGAAATGTGACTAGCTGGTCACTTAGCTTTTGAATGTTTCTGAAAAGAGAAATATTGTTTACATTTGCAAAGGATAGAACTATATATGTCTCAAAAAGTATAAACTAGAAATATCTTGAAAGTAGGTAAAAGAAGTAATATTAATTTTGTTGTCTTTTTCAAGTTCAGAGATTTTTCTTTCAAAAAAAGAGGGGGAATTAAGCTTATCATTAACACAGGATTTCTCCCTCAGCTAGTGGTGAAGTTGTATTTTAGGGTGGCAGGCCAAGGAACAAGAAATTCTGATAGTTTTAGTCTTGGAGGTATTATACATTGTTTAAAAGTCTGGAACCTGCTGTATCTAAATATGATGATAACTTACTTCTATGAGGAGCTATGAACAGTCAAATGGACACTGGTTTTGGAGTGTCTGCATCACCTTACCAGCAAGAGACACACTAATTCATTATCTTTTTTTTTATTATTCTCAAATTAAATTATGCAACATTTCTTCATTGTCTGTTTAGGTTGAAGACTTGTTCTTGATTTTATAATCTGGCAGAAGGGTATTACAACAACTGTCACTACTGTCCTTGTCAGTAGTAAACCTATCTTGGAGCATGATAGATTGATTTACCTCAACAAGGGCTGTAAAAAAGGCCAACGTGATCACTTCCATAGTAGTTGCACAGGTTGAAAGTTGAACACCTTAGAACATTGCACATGCAGGTAGTCAAGGAAATAATGTTGACTGATGAGAGTATTAAAGTTTCACTCATGGTCAGCAGAGCTTGGAGTTACCTCGTGTAGTGTCCATGTCTTTGTCTAAGCCCTTATCCAAACTTATTTTTTTATTGTTAATAATGTTTTAATTTGAATAATCTATGAGGGTGTAATAGATCATTAATTAATTGCTTCAATCACAAGTTAATGTTTCCATATAAGGAAAATTCAGTGTATTCAAACAAAAACCAACAAGGATGGTCCATTGCTATGTCAACAGGAGAGCTTTGTTAAGTTTGTGAGAAACGGGCTCAGCAGAGATGAGAAGTTACAGGATGTGACATTTGTAGAAAAAGTAGCCATGTGCATCATGTGGTTCACTTGTCAAAAATAACATCTTGGGACGGCATGGGACCTATTGGTCCATCTCGGCTGTTCCATCCTCTAAACTAAACTAAAACTATTAATAAATAAATTAAAACAAAAATCTTAAAACTAGCCCTTATCTTTCATATACTTATCAAGTTTTCTCTTAAACTCACTTAAATGTACTGTCTCCACAACATCTGAAGGCAACCCATTCCAAAGGTCAACCACCCTGTTAGAAAAATAAAACTGTTAGCTGAAGATGACTCGTACCCTGCCAAAATTTATATTTGTGTCCCATAGCCCTACTATTCTCACTGTTACATATGAAAAAAGATGATGCATCAACACTATCACATCCCTTTACAATCTTAAACACCTCAATCAGATTCCCCTAACTCTTTCAAGAGAAAACAAATGTCACCAGCTGTCACTGTTATTAATATATTATGTATTATAATATATCTGAATACAGTTTTTGAATCAGTATTCTTTGTTTTGATGTTAAATGAAAGAAAGGAAAATGTTTTTTTCTGTACTGCTTGCATTCAACTGATTTTTTTAATTTTAGCAAACAAAGTTTTTTTTGTATAATTTTAGCAAACAGAAAGTATTTTTTGTATAATTTTAGCAAAGTTTTTGATTTAGTGATATTTTCATCATTTTGTATGTCTTTTTTATTTATTTTGTTAACTGTGAGGATGTTTAAAGTGAAGTATTTAACTAATTTTTAATTATCTTATTTAGGTCAGTAACAGATATCTCAGCCAATTAAAGGATTCTAATAACAGCCATCCATTTGTTAAAGAGTTTCAATCAAAGGTTGGCATTTAAGTAGTGATTTTTTTATTCATTTTGTTCATTAGCAAGAATAAAGGTAATCTTAACTATTAAAATATTTGATATTATACAAAAATGATTTTAGTAATATTTGTAAGACAATTTCAGTGCTATTTGTGTTTGAAAGAATATATGCATTTTTGAAAAATACCTTAGATATAGGCCCGGCATGGCCAGGTGGTTAGGGCGCTCAACTCGCAATCTGAGGGTCGCGGGTTCGAATCCCCGTCACACCAAACATGCTCGCCCTTTCAGCCAAGAGGGCATTATAATGTGATGGTCAATCCCACTATTCATTGGTAAAAGAATAGCCCAAGAGTTGGCGGTGGGTGGTGATGACTAGCTGCTTTCCCTCTAGTCTTACACTGCTAAATTAGGGACGGCTAGCGCAGATAGCCCTCGTGTAGCTTTGCGCAAAATTCAAAAACAAACCTCAGATGTAATAAATATTATGTACAAAGTTTGCTACAAATTAAAGGAATATTTTTGTTGTAAATTAATGTAACACACAAGTTTTTACTTTGCAGTTTATGAATCACTTTTATTTTCTAATAAAATATATATAATTCACATTAATATTTTCATTGTGGTTTATTGTATTGTTGTAGCTATTTTTTTAGTTTGATTTATGTTATTGTTGTAAAACTGTTTCTTCAAATTGTTTGTATATTGTTTTTTTTTAGTTGTGTTTTAATGAGAGCCAATTTTGTAATACATCTAATTAAATTACCTGTTAATTATATTAAAATTTTTGTATTAGTTTTATTTTTGTTGAAAGTTTTATATATTTTTTTCAGGACCAAGAGTTTGAGAGATTAGCAAGACAGTATGCACCAAGAGCATGAAAAATACAGTTATTTAGTTGTTTTCTGTACTGCTATTGTTTAATTATATGAGTGATTTAAACCAAACAAGAGTATGATTATGTTTCACAAATAAAGTAATGGTTTTGGTTTCTTTTCATGCAGTGAAGGTTTTCAGTCATTGTTTGAGACTTTCTCAGTATGCTATATTAATGTATGTAGAATGTATGTATATATTCTTTTTCCAGTATTAAGATGATAACACTGTCTACACATTTGTTCTTGTACCATTTATATTCTCAAATATATAACCTCAGCTAATTTAAAGATAATTCATCATGAGCTCAAACTGTAAGGAAATTGCTTCATATTTTGCTGGGAGATTTTTCCATCATTGTGGAACAACTTAATATAAGGAGTGCAGGAAAACTCTTGCACACATTTGGCAGTTTTGCCTATAGAAAGATTTTGGCAGAAGCTATGCTTGATAAAATATTAGCGTTTCCTAAATATGATTATTCTAAACCAACAAAAGACTTACTATCAGTAAATAGTGTAATCTGAAAAAAGCTAGAAATAAAAGATGTAAAGAGGATATTACATGATTTTTTGTGCTTTTTATTTTTGTCTAAAATAATAAGGAAATACTTTTCATTTATTTTAATAGTTACATCATCATAGAAATAAATAGTTCCTTTGTTATATATCTTTATCAAGAAGCATGCTCAATACCTACATAGTTCTTTTATTCTATTAACTGGTATAAGATTTTATTATTGTTTAATAATTTAGCAGGTTATAAACATCCATCTATTGATCTAAATAATCTTATGTGTACATGAGAACTTGTGTCTTGAATTAACTCTGTAGTTACTTTTTATTGTAGAATTGCTACATGTATTTAATGATTACCTGGCTAAAATGTTCATACAGAAAGGTTTTATGTGTACTTAACTGTTAACTGACTAAAATATTCTATATATTACAGTTACTACTAGTATTTTAATGATTGTGTAACTAATATATTCTATATAACAAAGGTACTGTTTATGTTCTTTATGATTACCTGGCTAAAATATTCTATATAATACAGTTGCTACATGTATTTTAATGATTGTCTGACTAATATATTCTATATATATATAACACAGTTGCTACATGTATTTTAATGATTGTCTGTCTAATATATTCTATATATAATACAGTTGCTACATGTATTTTAATGACTGTCTGACTAATATATTCTATATAATACAGTTGCTACATGTATTTTAATGATTGTCTGACTAATATATTCTATATAATACAGTTGCTACAGGTATTTTAACCAAATGTATACTGGGTTGGTCCAATGAACCAACCTCAATGAAAAAAGAATGTTGACTATAATTCTGAATTAGCTATATGTATCTACACAAAATGTGGCGATCTTTTAGTAAAATTGATAAGTCAGTTCTGTACAAAAAATCATGTGTGTTACAAAAGTGTTTGCACTTGAGATGTGTCTGTGAATTGATGACATCAGTCTGACATGGACTGTGACAATACAGTTTGCATATCTACACTTTTTTTTCTGAATCTGTGTATATTGTATTTGATATTTATTCCCCTCTGTCATGAACTGTCCCTAAGTTAGCAACATGAGGTAAAGTGAATAGTTGATAACTTTGACATCAAATGCTTAATATCATGTTGAATGGAACTCTAAAAAGTTATGGCATATGCACTTTGATCAGCACTTGTGCAAATAGGGATAATAACTACCTGATTAGAATGTTAAGTATAACACAGTTACTACATGTATTTAATTATTACCTAACCAAAATGTTATGTATAACACAGTTACTACATGTATTTAATTATTACCTAACCAAAATGTTATGTATAACACAGTTACTACATGTATTTCATTATTACCTAACTAAAATGTTATGTATAACACAGTTACTACATGTATTTCATTATTACCTAACTAAAATGTTACGTATAACACAGTTACTACATGTATTTAATTATTACCTAACCAAAATGTTATGTATAACACAGTTACTTCATGTATTTAATTATTAGCTAACTAAAATGTTATGTATAACAGTTACCTGACTAAAATATTCGCTCTAACACAGATGCTCTGTGTATTTAATTTGATTTAATAAAAATATGGAAGGCAGTGTCTACAGTGTCAATGATATTAACTAACATGTTAACACAAGTTTAAAGAATTTTCCAGTTCCATGGGAAAGTTCAGAAACATCAGAGATGTAATGACTGTTGATAATGTATAACTAGTTCAAAAATAAAGTCCGTGAATTCCTAGGTCAGTTATTTGTATGGTACTTATGCTACGAAAAGAATGTATGTGCAAACGTATGTGTAGGTTTGAAACTTAAAGGACTAAAGAAAATAGAAAAGTTTTACATACCACAATATCATGTAAGGTTATGTTGTGAAAGTTTTGAAATTGCTCATTATACTAAAACTTGGTATAATTTCTATTAGAAATGACTAAATTGATTGATTAAACTGAATTAACAAAAATTTAAATAATTCACTCAGTTGAAAGAGCAGGATGAAACATTACAGGAGAGATTGCAGATGACTGTGTATAGATTCTAACTGACAAAGAATAACATCGGATAAGTTACTCTTAGCCTGAGACTACTGATGGTATGTTGTAAAGAAGCTTTTTAATTCCATTACTTTATTCATAAAAATGTTAAGTGCAGGTCTCAACTACTGCCAATGGCAACTTAATTGCCATCAAAATAAAATGATAAAATTGTCTTAAATGGAGCCTCGCCTGTCTTTTCCAGATCTTAAAATTTTGTCCTATTATCTTCAGGATCTAGCATAAAGAAATCGGAGGTCTTTATCCTATTGATCCCTCAGGTAACCTCTGACCCTTTTTTTTCAAGAGAAAATAGATTAAGAGATCTCAACCTAACCAATTAAGATAACCATTCCATCCGAGGAATCATCCTATTAGCCTTCCTTTGAAACCTTTCCAATAGGTCAAAATCCCTTCTTAGATAGGAAGACCAAAACTGTATACAGTATTCTAAATTAGATCTAAGTAGTAACTTGCATAGAAAGATAATTATCTCCTTTGACTTGTAATCAGTGTGTCAATGAATACACCTTAAACTTATGTTGGTTTTACTACCAGAAACAGGGCACTGCTTCAGAGGCTTTACTTATCCACCACTATGCCATTATCATTTTGTTAAATTATGTTATTTGGTTTGTTCCTAAGTATATTAAACACGTGAAGAGATTATTATAAACCCAAATACACTAATTGCATTTACTATAATTAAAGGTCATTTCTTAGATGGTTGTCCACCTTATCGATTGATTCTGTCTGCTCTGTAATGCTTAAAAAACCATAATACAACCAGAAATATCCAAGAGTTTACTGTCATCAGCTAGGTAACTTCAATTGTTATGCACGATTCAATCTTACTATAATGGACATACGTGTATATCAGTATCTATGTGTGTAACCAAAACTCCTGCGTCATCTATTGAATGGCATCACAAACAAAAATCCACAAAAAAGTGTCAAATTTTGGGTATTCAAGATTCAGACAGTTAGAAAAATAACTATGGTATGTGCAACAACCACTTCTTTATAATAGAACACAATTTTAATTAAAAGTACTCTCCTCACAACAAGAAAACGACTTTCACTAGGACTAGACGTGAGGGTTTGATTATATCTTTATTGATGTAATTTTTGAATGTAGTACCGAGAAACTAGAGTTCTTAAAAATTTAGTTTTTCAATAAACGGTACCACTTTTAATATATAAAAACATTACAGTTTCTATCAGTAAAATTTACTAATTCACTGATCTATGATTTACAGGGCAATTATTATCATCCTCTTGAAAAATGGGAGTAATATAAATAACTTTCTAATATCCAGGAACCGGTTCACTCTTTACTGGGCCCGGCATGGTTAAGGCCAGGTGGTTAAGGCGCTCGACTCGCAATCTGGGAGTCGCGGGTTCGAATCCCCGTCACACCAAATATGCTCGCTCTTTCAGCCGTGGGCA